AAATTGAAATTGAACAGGCACAGGCTAGTTGGCTATTTTTGACAAAAATGTTCTATTTTCACATAGACTTTTTTGTAGGTATCCTTTATAAAACGGAACTGAAACTAAGAAATAAAGTATATTGTTGTTAGAAAATAATAAATTACTACAAAACTATGCAAGTTATTATCAAACCATTTTGTTTTATACTAAATCATTCTGGACTGACACTTTTTGATAAAATGAAAATTTCAGGCAAAGTAATCAAAAAAATTATTTCATAAGGGAAAAAATATTAGCAGCAAATAATCCATGAAACTGATTGCCACATCAACATAACCTGATACATTCATTCAAGTTTTCACAATATTTTTGTCCAAATTAGTTGTTCTGAGTAAAGTTCATTGTCATTTCTTGAAGATCTAACTGCATATTGTTTTTCACAACTATATTTAGGAAAATAATTACTAAAATCTACATGTTGTGAGTAACCTACCACGCCAGCCTATGAAATTGCCTCTCAAAAGAAAATGAAAGAAATTAATTTTCAAAAGAAAACAAATATTAAAATGTACATGTTGGGAGTAGCCTATGGCGTTGTCCTCTGAAACTGCTTCTCTAAACCAGCCAGTTATCTCACCTGTAGCCAATGAAGTGCAGGTTCCCATGATGCACTGCACACATCGCCTGCTGCATACACATCCTGCACACAGGTCATCATATGGTCATTGACTGAGAGACCACCATCGGAGGAAATAACAAACTGAAATACAAATGAAACCATCTGGGAAAATGGCAAACCTAGAGCATAAATACTGTTGAAAAAAATGGACAGACTGCAAATAAATATTGCAAATAATGCAAATATTCATATTGACAATGACAAATGACAGTGCTCTGCATCAAGAAAACTAAAAAAAATGCAAATGATATCACATATGATTTTTAAAATCTAACACAAGGAAACTTGTTCTGATACATAAAGTTACCTTGTAGTAAACAAACCTGTTTGTTTTTGTTGAAGGGGTATACATTTGGTATAACGCCAGTAGCACTGACCACAAAATCACAGCCGTAAATATGACCATTTGTTAGTTCCACATATATGGGCCACGAAGCTGGTAAAAAAAATGTTTATTACAAGTATTTAAAACTGAAAAATGTACATTACCAAAAACAATGAATAATTATGATATACAGTAATCAACATTTTCCTATTATTAGAAAAGACAGTCTTTTAACTCACTTGGAAAGTCTCCTTTGAAGTTCAAAGAAAAGAAAAGAACAAACAAAACAGAAAGCAAGACTGGTACATTTTACATAATACTTCCCTACACTTACCTTCACCACTTAAACCTGTCTCATCATTTTTGGGGAATTTTTTGGCTTGCTTTCCACTTGACTTCATCTCTTCTTGACTTAACAGCCTAGATACTTCAACTTTATATTCTACATGTATGCTGCGGCCCTCCTGGCATACATAAATTTACATTTTATAATAATATATTCTTTGGTGAAAAACAATTACTCTAACAATCAAGCATCAACAAACAATATTAACCATTAAAGATCCATTTCCTAGTAGGCGCATATACAGAAAAGTCAACAATAGAAACACAGTTGTTTGGATTAAAAACTTTTTTTAATTTAGCCATTATTAATTCAACAAAAAGGCTAGTGTTTTAAGCACATTTATCAATCCCTTAAAACAACAATAACTGCTAACTTAAGCTTAATTTTCTGATGTTTTTTAATCACATATCAATCCCTCACAAGAAAACAATAACATTTATTAGTGTTTTTAAGCATACCACCACACCTAAAACATGCAGTGCTAACTCACCCCATATTGACCCTGCATTTCCCTGCCTTCAGTCCAGTCTGGACCCAAGGCACCTCCTAACAGGTCTGGGGTCAGTCGAGAGATCATGGGCTCTTAAAATAGATTGTGTTTCATTTTATTTGTACTGATAACTCTTATAAAAAACGCAACTTCTACTATTTCTGCAAAATCAGTAATGCAGCTGAGATAAGAATGTATTAATTCTACTGATTCACAAATGCTTATCAAATCATTTCTTTTTTATGAAAATTACTTACTTTCCAATGTGTACTTCATTCTTTTGGAAACACCTTCATCTTTCATTTCTGCTGAAGAGGATAAACTAGAGAGAAAGAACTCAGCAGCTCCTGCATCTACAAAGGTCTTGGTAATAGAAGCATCCTTGATGGCCCATACCACCTCACAATTTTTAATGTGGTATCTGGAAACAAATATTATATGGATTAATTCTACTGTAAAGTAAATGGAAAAGGGATGATGGCCAACTACCACAGACTACTTGACTTCATGTTTTGACAAAAGTCTTCATGATCTTAACTAATCTATCATTTCAGAACTTTAAGACATTAAATTAAACTTAAGTGAGCAATGCGAACTAGACAGAAAGCCTGGTGCATATACAGATATTAAACAAAAAAGTCACAAATAGAAACAGTTATTTGAAAGAGAACATTTTTTAATTTATGTAGCCAATTATTAATTCAACACTAAGGTAAAATCCATCTGTAAATTTTGGCATATGTCTCATAAAGTAAAAATACAGAACTACAGTTTGGCATTGAGAGTGTATCATGTTCAGACACATATGCAATGTATAAGTTAAATGAAAGCATGGAAACCTTGGTAAAAATAATCTTATTATGCCAATTTTCCAACTGACTTCGATTTTGTATCATGCAAAATTTAAAAATGTAATTTGGCATTTGCATCAACTGCAGCAACAGATGCAGATGATAAGAATGTTTGTAGAAACTGTAAACAACATCACTCCGAGATTTGTATAGGAACAAATATATTTTATGTGTCTTACATCTAAATATTTCAGCAGTGCTCATACATTTGACTTACACAAGTTCTGTAGCAATTCCACCATTTCCAACAATAACAACCCTTCTTGCACTAGAAAGTCTTTCCTGAAACTCCTTTAACAAAGAATTCAACATTTTGAATATGCTATTAATTCAACAATTTTTCAACATTTGCCACGTAATCTGCAGCAGTGACTAACCTTATAACAAAATGAAATACATTAAAATTGGACTTTCACTAGATTTAAACAAAGCACCATAACTTTAATTTTTGAGCATTTTTTTATGCTTATATGTGATCAACAGGTGATTACATTTGTGATAAAGGTATCTGACCTGTACACTTTCTGTATCTCTGATTCCAAGTACATGTTTGTTCCCTTCCATCAATACCTGAAAATAAAGCACAGCAGATTCAAAATCTGGGACATTTATGTATTGAACAGTAATGAATTGTGGTAGTTGTGACTGATGTTATCAGTGATTGCATTTTCTGGCAGTGGAAACTTTGTAATTTAGTTCACTTAACATCTATATAAAATCATTTACATTATACAGCTATTAAGGAATGCTTTCTTTTAGTAAAATACAAGTTTATTTTTAAAGTAAAATGTAAAGCAAAAGATATATTATCAATTAACATGAAAATCCTGATTTCTGCAATATACATTACTACATAGTGTACCTTTGGTTTTCCTCCAGTACATATGCAGAGTTTCCCATATCTATACCATTTTTCATCCACTGTAAGCAATTTCTGTAATAAAATTAATAGTAACATATACTTAAAGATTATATACTGCATAATTCAAAGCAATATTTCTATTACTTAAAACAAATGGTAAAAAGTAAATGAAATATAAAAGAAGTCCACTATTATTTTTATGAAGTACAAACCCCTACTGTCAAATTGTAAAAAGTTGTCACTAACATGTTCTTCTTGGTCCATTTCTTTAACAGCAGTGTTTAGAACATGGATGTTTGGACAATCCAACTGTAACACAGACAACGGTTTTTCCACCACATCAAACTGCTGCAGTGTCCTGCCATACTGTAGAACAATGGGAAGAAAATTTTTCATAGTCAAAGAGTGTTGATGATTAGGTCTTATAAAAATCCTTTAAAACTTATACATGTATGTTAGAAAGTGTCCATTTATCGCTAAGCAAAATTTTCTGTCACATTTAAAAAGATGTAAAGGGTGCATATCACAATCTACAAAATGCTGGGAAGCAAAAAATTATCTAAAAGAGCACACTTTTATATCAAAACAAACTCTATATAGCACACTTAAAAAAAATTATGATCACATACCTGTCTTAGATTTGACACTGCTTTAATGAGAGGGGAGGCACTTATAAGCAGGATTTTCTCTTCTGGACAAAGCAGTGAAAGCTAGAATGAAAACCATAATAATTGAAATATGGGTGCATGTGATTTATGTTTTTGAAAGAATTAGCTATATAATATTATACAGATTTTATAACATTATCTTCATATAAATCCCACTCGCAGTCACTGTAAAGATGCTTTAACATGTTTAGGGAAACTTAAAAAGTCTCCTTTAGAAATGTGTATATGAAACTGAAATTAATACAAGTTCTTTTTTTTTCATCTAAACTTCAATTTATTTGTTGCCAGAACAGTGAAATATTGCAGAAGAAGGATGCCAATTGTTTAATTTTGTAGTGAAAGAGTGTGATGACGGAGCATGAGCAAAAAGCAAATATGAAAATCTAAATCCTGTGCAAGAAGACATGGGTTTATTGAGATTTATAGTTTCAAACGTATAAATATTGCTTTCTGTGACAATCAATTGTTTTAAAACGTACCGTTTCTGCACATGTTACACCTGCAATACCACCACCCACAACTATGAATGGATAATATTCACACTGAAGCTGTTCACCAGACATTCTCTTCCTGGCTTATGTTGTCAGATACTCATGTTCACTCTGATATCTTGATGTTGGTGGTGACAGTCAATATAGTTGATACTCTCAATGTCGCAGTGTGTAAGTTCTGGTTATTTGAAAAAAACATTACACTGGTTTTTCAAATGAATACAGCAGGATAATCATACTATACTTGCCTCAGTTGCCTTACATGTAGTATGTAAGGCTGAAAACTGAGGTAATCACACTACATGCATTGTGAAATTACAATATATCCAAATAAGGGTCTGAATTGTTACTGTCCTCATTGAGCATAATGTTTTCAGTGGGTAGGTACCCACTGAGGCTTAGGGAATTTATATTGTAAGTATAGAGGATATAACAGTTACACCAACAGATAACATAATTTTAAAATAATTAAACCAAAAAACTTATCAGCATCATATTGTCACTTTCCTGGGGTGGTGCTAATACTCGCCCATCTTGAAAATTCTAAAACAGATTTAAATTGCCTGGCTAAAAGAAAATAGGGTTGATGTGGGGAGATCCAGAGATATTTTCTTACAGTCTTTCAAACTATCTTTGTTGAACCATTTCCATTTTTGACCATCTTCTGACAGAAAAAATTAGAGGCCAGTCAATGCAAACACACACACAAAAAAAATCCGTCCTCTGAAAGGCCCAGAAGATGGCTTCCATCCGCCCCTGGTTGATTTGACTTGTTTTAGTCATAAGGGAGAAAAAGGGAGTGTAAATGTAGTGACTTGGCAAAGCAAACCCAACTTTCCACCACTATCCTTCAAGAGTTTCACAATCACAGGTAATTATCCTAGTCTAGAAAAGGCAGGAAGGCACCCCTGCTAAGAGCTCAAAATCCTGTACACAAGCCATGCGAGAACCACTTTAAAACAAACATAGCCCTAAACAACCTTTATCAACTCCCTTAGGTTTAGTGGGCACATAACCACACTGAAGATAGCCTGCTGAGGACAGAAGGATACTGAAATTTATCAATCTGTGCCTGGCCAAGCTTAATTTATCATGTTTTTACTAGTTACCAGTGTTTACCCGTGCGAAATAAAATTTTCATTTTTTCACAATGGTACTACATTTCCTATGAGATGGTACTACATTCCCCATGAGGTGGTGAATTTAGAATAAACTGCAACTCACATTTAACTAGTCGACTGCTGCATGTTCCATGTTTACAATATTATCACAGGGGCCAATAAATACTGTATAAGTATTTGAAAATGTGCCATCCATCTGATCTTAATATAGAATAAAAATAAAATAAAAATGTATTTTAGTCTCATAATGGTAAAAATGCGTCCAAAAAAATCATATTTCTAGGTAATTTTTAAGGTTTAGATACTGCTCCCTGTGTTCAGCCTCGCTCTCGTAGTATTGCTTCTTGCTCCCCAGTTCGTCTCTGTGTCACTATCGTCATGGAATTGTTTGATTGTTCTTAAACGAGGCTCTTCTTAGGAGAATGCGCAGCCGCATCTTTACCCCAACATCGTCAAAGATAGGGATAGATTGTTTGAAATCACGCCATGTAACACGCCATATAACATTACATATTTAAGCTGTAAGTGGTGCACCATATTCAGGTAAGTTACGAGTTCTACTGGTAATGGAATGGAGTCGACTATTTTTGATTAACAGAAAATAATGGCAATCTTTAGTGACAAAGATTGTCATTCACGCATCAGCCGGTTGCTCAGCCTTCATCCGAGTTGCCAAGTTTTTATGCTCTGGCAAAGGTATGGATGTCTACTGTTACTGAATGCAAGATACACGTAGGATTACTATGAAAAAGCAAGCCACTACATTAGTTTACCAAAATATAAAAAAATTACTACGTTCTACAATATAAAACGCGTGTAACGCTTCGGAGATGTAACGATGTAGGATTGGGAGGGGGGGGGGTGTTGCCTCATTTCCAGTCTTACAGGTAAGGCCCTGCAACACCCTGTGTTACAAATTCTAGAGGCTATAAATACTAGTATGTAAACTCTGGGATAACTGTGTGTCCTTCATCACACCTGCGGCATGTGATTAATAAATATATAGTCATTTTGTATGGGTTCATGAACCAGTTTGATAACGTTTTACTCATGTTATTCCACCTACAGAGTAGTGTTAACACTCGTGCCTGCCTATTAAAAGTGTATTGTCACAAGAGCATGTTACAGAGGGTGTTATGAAGCTTTACTTGTGTAGCATGTAAGGCTGAAAGCTGAGGCTTGGAGGGTGTTAATGATGTGGAAATAACCCTTTGGGGTTTTATTAATAGGTTCAATAATTCTGGAGAAATTCAAGTTGAAGCAGGTGCTTTTACTGCCGCCACTTAGTCAAGCCCATGGTCACATATAATGAGGACAGATTTTGAAACACAAATATATATAGAGAATCTAATAGATGGATGGTTTTGAAGTACATGTACTGGCATTGTGCACCCAGGAAGTTATTGTATTCTTTCACAAGTCTCAGATTCCAGCAGACTATTTTGTCTGGCTGTTGAGAATTTGTCTGGCTGTTTCAGCCTCTGACATTTGCTATTGCATCATAAATGTCTAGTGTGCCAACTGCAGACAGTGACTCTCTCATTTGGTTTCCAGACTCTCATGTGGTTTGGTGCAGTGAACAGGAAAATTGCTCATAGACTGAAAATAACCGAACCTCATTGTTGATGAAACTTCCTTGAAGAGTGGTGTGGCTTGTCTAAATGGGAAACTGTACCCATTGAGTTTTTTTTATATAATGCCAAAAAATGTCCACCAAAATGTCTTCCATATACTACCTTGCATCTTTCAAGAAGCAAAGTAAATTACTTAAACCTGAAGACTAAGATCCCATTCCCATAGATTTTAGATCGATCTATCCCTTTTGGGAGTCTCACTAGATTACTGTCAGCTTAGCCGGTTTAAGCGTCTGTCTTGCCTACTAAAAGATGTAAGGGGATAATTAACTATGGTGCGTGCCCGGCTGGCTGCAATTTAGCGTGAACCCCCAGGGAGTTAGGTTGATCTAGATCTAAATCTCTGGAATCGATCTAAATCTTTGGGAATGCACTCTTAGAGCACATTCTCAACGAATTAAGCCAGGCTTTACAAAGCCGGTGACCTAAAAATGGCGGACGTACATGAAAGAAAAACCGCCTAATCTTTTAATAGTCTCTCCGCCTCTCACACGCCTCCCCACACGTCGTCCCTGCGGGGTACAGTAATTAAATCTCGGCTCCGAACATTAATATTTCCGTGAATATCTCTGGTGATATTATCCGTAGATAGTCGATTCATTGCTGCTCTACGGGCCAAATTATTCCTTTTTCGTCTCTGTTTTCAAAGATAATAGAACAGAAGAGCTTTTTTCCTTCGATCGCCTTCAGCCGCCATGCTTTCTTCACCACGAGTTTAACTGATGAGCATGCGCACTTAATATTTCTCAGGTAGCTTCCGCATGGCGAACGGAGACGCGATTTAATTACTGTACCCCGCAGGGACGACGTGTGGGGAGGCGGAGAGACTATTAAAAGATTAGGCGGTTTTTCTTTCATGTACGTCCGCCATTTTTAGGTCACCGGCTTTGTAAAGCCTGGCTTA